ACGCCTCCTAGGCCCTCCACCCTCACCCCTGGCACCCGCCGCAGGGCTGGCGGGGCTGGGTGCTCCTGTGGGCTCTTTCTGGAGACCAGACAGGAAGCCTGGGCTGAGACAGGGGTCGTTGAGGTCCCAGGCACTGGGGCTCAGGGCTGTGGGCCACAGGGACCCCCGCAGAGGGTGCTTGGGACAATGTGAGCCTGCCTCAGTGTCACCTGGAGGGGTCCAAAGAAATCACACTCACACTGGAAGTCCTCTGAGGGCAGTGCCGGGGCTACTGTGCTCAGCCCCCAGGCCCGGCCCCCCCAGCTCTGCTGGGGACCAAACTGCGACAGTGCAAACAGCACAGACTCTCAGCAGGAGCCGGCAGCCCTGTGTGGGCTCACAGCGAGCCCCGGGCCAGGCAGTCGGCAGAGCCGGGGAGGGCGGAGCCTCACCTGGGGCCAGAAAACCTCCTCTCCACGCACAGGCCCAAGGTCCCAACCCTGGGGCACCAGGCAGGGGTCATGGTGTCTGCCGGCGGCCTTGCTACATCTGGGAATTTCCCCCTCTGCTCCGCCCAGGCTGGGCGATGACGTTGTCGACCTCCATGAACGGCTCACCCAGGGAGAGAGAAGAAGCAGGGTTTTGGCCGTGGGGTCCGAGGTCCCTAGAGTCCCCATCAGGGTCATCACACTGCCAGCCTCTGGGGCTTCGTGAGCACAAAGACCCTTGGCCATGGGCCATCGGGGTGGTGCTTGCGGGTGGGCTGGGGGGGGAGCAGGGGCTGACGGAGCAGCAGGTGGGGATGGTCTCCTTCACACGCACTTTGAGTCAGAGGAGCCGACCCCCCAGCTCCAGAGGCAGGAGGGCAGGGGGCTGCTCTCAGGCTCAGAGGCCTGAGCAGGAGGCCGTCCTTCCCAGGCCGCCGGCTCAGAGGGGCTGAGCCTCCTCCCCACCCCCACGGCATTCCTTCGAGCTGAGGCTGGCAGCCACCGGGTCAGGACATCAGAGCCGGGAAGGGCACCTGGCCGTGAACGATCTGCTTCCCTGGCTGGGCTCCCAGACGTGGGCCGTGCCAGCCCGTAAGGGTGGGGGCTGGAGTAGGACCTCGGCCCCACCCTACCTCCAAGATGGTTGCCCCCGTACAGATGGCTGTTCCCTGACCCAGGGCTTCAGAACCAGGTCCCAGCCCTGGAGGCCCCAGCTGCCCGAGGAGGGTGTTCCCCTAGAGGAAGACACTGTGTCGGGGACGTCCAGGCCCTCCTGCCTGGGGTCACGTGGGGAGAGGCAACAGGGAGGAATGGAGATGACCCTCCAAGGGCTTCCCAGCCTCCTGCAGCCTCACCCCACCCCTGCCGGGCTCCTCCACCCGCGATGTCCCATCTGGGGCCCAGGCGCTGCCCTCCAGGGGGTGACACGCCCCTCCCCACCCAGCGGCTGCATCTTCCTGGAGTCACCCTTCGCTGCCCACCAGATACCTTCCTTTCCTGCCTGAGATTTGTCCATCCTCCCTTCTGGCGGACCAGCTCCCTCACCACTTCCCAGCCCGTGGGTGTACATGTGTGACCTGTCCCATCCAGGGCACAGAACCAGAACCGATGGGCAGATTCTCCTGGAGTCGCTTTCTAAGAAAGGAGTCATGTCCACGCCATTACAGAGTCTAACCCCGGAAGGGGCTGTCTTGAGCGGTAGTGAGCTCTCCATCAGTGGAGGTGTGCAAAGAGAGGCCAACTTGCTCATTAGGAACCCAGGCTCAGGCACATTAGTTACCTGTCTGGAACAGAAAATGATCAGTAAACATTTGTTCAACAAATACCACCCTGGTTTCCTCCACCCCTGCCATGGGCTGATCGCAGACAAGTTTGGATTTGGCACTGAAAGGGGACAGTCCGGGGCCCCTGACCCAGGGCAGTCTGGAGCCCTCCCACCACCCGCGGAGGATCCGTGTCTGTATGAGCCCCCTCCTGGAGCCGCAGTGGAGGTGTCCTGGGCCCTGGAAGGTGGCTGCGCTGGCAGGCCAGATGGCCGGGCTCCATCACCGGCCGTGTGCGTGGCAGTGTGGTCCCCTGAGGCCTTCCCGCATCCAGACACCGTGGCCAGGAAAGAGAATGGGTGAGATGGGTTTGGGACCCGCGTCCTGGGGGACCCGGCTGCCACGGCTGGGCAGAGTGACCCGGAGATGTCCCCAGGTGCAGGGCACCCTGCTGGTGGACCCTCCTGCTGCCACAGGACAGCTGCCAGTCTTCCTTTTGGTGAGGACACCAGAGCTGGCCTCGCGCCCTCCACACCGAGGGGATGCAGGGATCGTGGACTGGGGCTGACTTGGTGAGCCGCCTGTGCCTGGGACGCCAGGCACTGGGGTCCCAGATAGGGAGGCTGGCCCCGCCCACCTGAGGGCAGAGAGGGCGGGGTCTGCGAGCCCTGGGGCTCTGTCTCCTTTGGCCCCTTCTGAGAGCTTCCTTCGCTCCAAGGCTTTGGGGAGGAGCTCCCCCCGCCCCCATTCCTGGCACCGTCTAAACTCTTGCCTGCCCCCGAATCCCCTGGAGAATTTGCTAGAACTCAGGCCGCAGCTCCCAGCACCTTGCTGATCTTCAGATCTGGGATGGGGACTAAGAATGTGTCTTTTAAACACGTCCTAGCTGTGGGTGACCCCGGCCACGCTTTGAGGACCGCTGACTTGGTGGCTGTGGAGGTCTCTCCTTTTAAAGGGCCACGGGAGACTCGGGCCTGGGCCACAGTCCGCAGGGAAGGGGGGAGACCAGAGGCCCCGCGATGCCCCGTCCTCCCCACAGTGCCTGCTGTGCTACCTGGGTTCAGGTTTCCAGCGGCTCCAACGGCCCGTGAATGTGAACGCGGGGTGGGCATGGTGGTGGCCGCACGGCTGGCTCTGTGTCTCCTGAGTACCCGCGATGATGCCTGGCACACAGTAGGTGCTCAACCAGTATTTGTACACTGAGTGAGTGAGTGGTCAAGGACATGGAAGGGCTTGCAGGCAGCTGGGACCAGTGCTTAGGAGCACTTCCCTGCAGCAGCCCGGAGTGTCCCCTGGACCAGGACCCAGAGACCCTCCGCAGGGAGCCCAGGACTCAGAGGGCTGGCCTGGGGATCCACTGGGATCCAGTGTCCTAACCCAGGAGTCTGGTGCCAGCTGCCGGCCAGAGGGATGTCCCTGCCCAGGCCTACACTCTGGCTGGGGACAGGCTTGCCCAGAATTTGCTACCCCCACCCCGGCTGCTCTGGCAGCCACCTGCCTCTCTGCAAACAAAGATGGTAATGGGTGTGTCCCTATCCATGTGTGTGTCCCACCAGGGCCCCAGCCTCTGTCCCACCCCCTGCCACCTACAGCCGCTGCTGTCGCCAGCGCTGGGGAAATTCCGAGGGAGGGGGACGGGGAATTCCTGGGATCTTGCAGAGACTCCAAGGGCCAGAGCCTGGCTCCCGCTCACTTCCTTCCCTGGGAGGGCCCTGCCTGAGCCCGGTCCAAGGGGAGGGATCTTCCTAGAAGCAGAAGCCCCACCAGAGAGGAGCGCTGGGCCTGCCCCTCCCACAGTGAGCACAGCCTGTCACTGGTCACTGAATATCTGCCTCCCCCTAGTGGCCTCCGGTAAAACTCAGAGTCCCACCACCAGCACTGTGGGGCCCCGTTGGGGGTCAGCGATCACGGAGCACCTGCCCTGTGTGACATGGGGTGACGAGGGAACCGTCACTGGTGCCAGGAAGGACCAGAGGGGGCACGTCTCCAGCGCCCCTGCACCAGGTGGTGTGTGCCTGGGCCTGCGCCGCTGCCATGTCCAGCCTTTCTCGGACCTGCACGCGGAGCATTCCCCGACGGCAAAGCCGAGGTCCCTGCCGCCCACCGGGGTCGCCGAGTCTCTCCTGCACGGGGAGAGCCTCACTGCCCACCGCACGCCCGGGTCAGCCCAGGCCTGTCCCTCCCACGCGTGGCCAAGGCCCTGAGACGCTGCCCGCCCCTCCGGCCTCCTCCTGGGCTGTGAGCCCTGCTCCAGGCTGCCCGTCCCGTCCTCCTTCTCTGCTTAGCCTCCTCTAACGAGCTCCAGCCTTCAGGGTGCCGGGCATCAGCGCCCTTCTCGCCCCTGCACTGCTGATGCGCCGGCCTCTGGGCCCTCACCCCCGCACCCCTGCGTCCTTGTGGTCTGCCTGGTCCAGCGCCCACAGCCACCCCTCCGGACCTTAGCACGTGTCGAGTCTTCTGCCCGGGGCGCCCTCCTTCCCGTTGTCTGCTTGCCCAGCTCGCCCGTCATTGTCAGGGTCAGTTCAAAAGTCACTTCTCCAGGGACGTCTCCCAGCAGCCTCCAGCCTCTCTAGGCTCCCTGGCGTCTGGCCCTGCACCCGTCAGGGTGCCCAGCAGGTGGCACCGAGATGATGTTCCTATAGGGATGTCCCCCTCTGGACTGGACACTCCTGGCGGCCGAGGTCCTGCCCACACCTGTGTGCTGAGTGGCTGGAGCCTAGCAGATGCTGGGAGCGGCTTGCTTCTGCCGACGGCCATCCACCTGGGGCCTGGGGCCAAGTGTGGCGTTCAGACCCCAGAGTATTGCTGGTTTCCGAGGGCGTCCACGTGGCCAGGAGGCCGGCAGGTGGACATGGGCCCGCTGCGAACAGTGTCAAGTTAAAGGGCTCCGGGCGCAGACCATGCCCCAGCCTCTCTCTGCAGACTCAGGTCTCTGGTCCCCAAAATGGCAACGTCACCTCTCACCCCGAGGGGCTGCTGTGAGGGTCCCAGAGAAGTCGGCTGAGCACCAGGCCCACTCAGTGCTCAGCGAGGGACAGCGAGGTCTGCGGCAGCGGCGTTAGAACCTGGGGAGGCAGGGTCCCAGGTCCCGCCAGTCCTCGGGGTGCTGCAGTGGGGGGGGGGCCGAGAGGGCGTGTGGGGCTCATGTGCGGTCGCCCTGTGGGCTGAGAAGGAGCGTCCTGGGGCGCAGGGCAGCAAGGGCGCTGTGTGTCCAGCAGAGGGCCTGCCCAGCCCGAGGCCGGCGGGGTGGGAGGGAGTGGCTCAAGGGCGCTGGAGCAGCTGGCAATGCCAGACGCCTGCCTGGGGGCGGACCGAGCGGCCAGCTGCCTCACTGGAGTCCGCAGCACCGGGTCCCTGGCCCTCGGCGGCTCTCCGCGGGGCAGCTGCCTCCTGCTCCTCTGGCCATGCGGTGGCTGTGGCCGCTGGCCGTCGCTCTCACTGTGGTGTCGGCCACGGGTGGTCACCGAACCAGAGTCCCGGAGCAGGCAGGCCGGCCCAGGAGAGGCACCGAGGATGAGGAGGCCAAGGGGGTGCAGCAGTACGTGCCCGAGGAGTGGGTTGAGTTCCCCCGGCCCATCCGCCCTGCTGGCCTGCAGCCCACCGGGCCCTCGGTGGCCACCAGCCGCGCCCCAGGCGGGGATGGGGACGCCCCAGGTGGCGGGCCGGAGCCATGGGGCCGTGTGACGGGGGCGCCAGGCCAGAGGCTGCAGATGCAGAACCCCCTGTACCCGGTGACGGAAGGCTCCTATGGCGCCTACGCAGTCCTGCTGCTGGCACTGCTGGTGTTCGCCGTGGGCATCGTGGGCAACCTGGCCGTCATGTGCGTCGTGTGGCACAGCTACTACCTGAAGAGCGCCTGGAATGCCATCCTGGCCAGCCTGGCCCTCTGGGACTTCCTGGTGCTCTTCTTCTGCCTGCCCATCGTGGTCTTCGACGAGCTCACCAAGCAGAGGCTGCTGGGGGACGTCTCCTGCCGGGCGGTGCCCTTCCTGGAGGTGAGTGCCCCGCCGCGGCAGGGCCAGGGGCCGAGGCTGCTGGAGGTGGGAGGTGTGGAACCTGATGCCAGGGCCTGGAGCTTAGTCTTGCAGCTTTTCTCCTGCAAACGGGGCTCGCGGGGGGCTCTCGGGCGAAGCAGGCCCTGGGGTGCAGGGCCCTGGCTATGGCCCCGCCTGGTCCCCACCGTGGGAGCTGCTTGAGGGGGCCACCGCTCCCCCGCACTCTGCGCTGATATCTGCCCCTGTCTGTGCATTCCGGACACCCTGCCCTTGGGGCACCTTCCTCCCTCTCGGGTCCCAGATCACTGCCCCTGCTCCACCCCATCACCCTGTCTCCCCAGGGGGCTTCTGAAGGGAGAGCCCCATGGTCCTGCAGACTCCATGGTCCACCTGTGTCCTCCCCCCCCCGTGAATGGTCGGGGCTCCAGTCCTTAAGGGTCCCCTGTCATCCCCCAGGCACCTCCCACATTGAGATGAGCCCGTGGTGTCAATGGACATGGGTTTAATCAGGACAAAACCGCCCCACACAGGCATCTCACTGAGACTCTGCAGGGCCTGGGGCCTGCACAGGAGCAGAAATGTGCAAGCAGCCTTTTAAGTTTTGGGTTGGTGGGGTGTCGTCCCAAGGCTGAGAGCCACGTGCGACCTGGTGACCTGCCTGGGAGGATGAAGGGTCGGAGCCAGTTGTCAGAACGCAGCTGCCGTCCCGGCTCTGCCCCCAGTCCCTGCGCCTCAGGCAGGGCTTCGTGTTTAAGGAGGTTCTTCTCTGAGGCTCAGCTGCTGACTTGGTCCTTTTTGGCTCTTCCCACCCAGTGAGACCCCCGGGTGGCCCTGAGGACTCCAGCCTGAGGGGAGACCCTGGAACTCAGGCCTCGGAATCTGGGTGATGGGCGTGCTCAGGGCCTGGCCAGCAGGGTCCAGCAGGGGAGGGTTGGACAGGACTTTGGAGCCGAGTGGACAAGATCGGAGACCAGGCCCCACCCTGCCATGCTGAATGACCTGTGAGTGACTTGTCCTGCTCCGACCTCAGTGTCCTCATCTGTACACTGGGGAGGGACAGCCACAGTAACCACCTGACCGAGCCCTTGAAGGATTCCGTGGGGCTGGGAAAGGAGAGAACTCAGCAGACGGTGGTTGTACCAGGAGTGACCCACAGAGAGGGTGCACACAGGGTCCTCCTTGCCCCCCCCAGGGCAGAGGTCATGCACGAGTGGGAAGAGCCTCCTTCCAGGGTGGGCGACAGGGACCAAATGCACGGCTGCGAGAGCCCCTGTGGGGATGGTCTCAGGATAACACTCGAGATGTTTCCTGAGATGTGGGGAGAGAGGAGAGAGCTCGTTGCCCCTGCTGGGGGCGGGGGCGTCTCTTGCAGGAGCCCTGGGGCGGTGCTAACAGCTGGGGACCTGTTCCTGGGCCAGAGAGGAAAGAGGGCGGACAGAGGGCCACTGAGCACAGTCCCTGTGTGGTCTGCATCCTTGTCCTTTCTTCTCTCTGGCTCTTTCTCCCCGGCGGCCCTGGCATCTTCCTCTTGGCTCGCAGGGCGAGGTTCCTGTGGGCACAGTGAGCAGCCCGCAGGGGCGGGCGAGTTCTCGACCCCACACAGCCAAGCCGGGCGTCTCTGCACAGGGTGAGAGTGAGCACGTGAGTGTGAGTGTTTATGAGTGTGTTCATGAGTGTGTTTGTGAGCATGTGAGTGTGTTTATGAATGTGTGAGCATATGAGGGTGTGCTTGTGAGTGCTTGTGCGTATGAGTGAGCATGCAAGTGTGAGTGTGAGTGTGTGAGCTGTGCTCCCTGAGACCGCACATTCACACGCTGCGGGGCGGGGACGGGAGGGCCTTCCGAGCCTGTGCGTCGACGCTCTGACTCCGCCCCAGTGACACTTTCTAGGTCCCAGGAGCATGAGGCTCTGAGGGGTGCACTTGCCCCCCCCATCCTCTGGAGGTACTGAGCCGCCTGGGTGTGGCCTCAACACCACCCCTGCAGGTCACTCTTCCCGCCCGACCCAGCGCAGCCCCTGCTGAAGGTGGCTGGCTGTGAGGCCCGATGACACGGGAAGCACCTGGTGTTTGTGCCCGTGGGCTGTAGTAACAGAAGCACATGGGTTTGTGCCGCATGCACCGAAGCCCCCGGTCCGACCGCGCCTGCCCTCTCCCTCCCTCCCACCCCTGCCCAGGTCTGCTCTCTGGGCGTCACCACCTTCAGCCTCTGCGCCCTGGGCATCGACCGCTTCCACGTGGCCACCAGCACGCTGCCCAAGCTGCGGCCCATCGAGCGGTGCCAGTCCATCCTGGCCAAGCTGGCCGTCATCTGGGTGGGCTCCGTGACGCTGGCCGCGCCTGAGCTGCTGCTGTGGCAGCTGGTGCAGGAGCCGGGCCCCGCCGCGGGCACGGTGGACACGTGCGTCATGAAGCCCTCGGCCAGCCTGCCCGAGTCCCTCTACTCGCTGGTGATGACCTACCAGAACGCCCGCATGTGGTGGTACTTCGGCTGCTACTTCTGCCTGCCCGTCCTCTTCACGGTCACCTGCCAGCTGGTGACGTGGCGCGTGCGGGGCCCGCCGGCGAGGAAGCCGGAGTGCCGGGCCGGCAAGCACGAGCCGTGTGAGCGCCAGCTGAACGGCACGGTGGTGGGCCTGACCGCCGTCTACGCCCTGTGCACGCTGCCCGAGAACATCTGCAACGTGGTGCTGGCCTACCTGTCCCCCCAGCTGGCCCGCCACACCCTGGGCCTGCTGGGCCTGGTCGCCCAGTTCTCCGCCTTCTTCAAGGCCGCCGCCACCCCGGTGCTGCTGCTATGTGTCTCCCGGCCGCTGGGCCAGGCCTTCCTGGACTGCTGCTGCTGCTGCTGCGCCGCCTGCTGCGAGGCCTGTGCCGGGCCCCCCGAGCCCGCAGCCGCCCCCGGCGCGGACAGCAAGCTCAAGACGGAGATGTCCTCCTCCTCCATCTACTTCCACCAGCCCAGGGAGTCGCCCCCGCTCCTGCCCCTGGGCACGCCCTGCTGAGGCCAGGCTCCAGGGGGCGCCAGGGGAGGGGCCAGAGGGCCTCCAGTCCCCAGGGGGCTGGCCTTTCTGCCCGTCCTGCCCGCCAGAGGAGGACTGGGTCCCTTGTACTGAGGTCTGGGCACGTCCAAGCCCCCTCCCCCAGTGGAGCCGTCCTGTCCTCAACACCGGAGATGCTTGCAGGTCCTTAGCGCTGCCCTTCCGGAAACGCAGTCCCACATGCTGGGGGCCAGGCATGCGGCTCCTTCCTGTCTCACCCCTCTGCCTGCGAGCCCCACGCCCACCAGACGTGCCCCCTCTGAGTCTCCTCTGCCCACCTTCCCATCCTGGAGCAGGGACCAGCCCCACTCGGCTCTTCTCTGCACCCGATCCACCCCAGACTGGACCTTCCTCTGAGAACTGATGGCGCCATCAGTTCTTCCAGAAGCTTCTCTTTCCTTCCTCCTCCTCCTCCTTCGACACATCCCAGGCCTCCCTGTCCCCATGTCCCCTGTTCGATACTCCCCCATAGCAGCCTTCCACAGAAAACAATAAACTAGGTAGAACGAGCCCCATGCCGCTGGACTTCCTTGTGCCACACCCTGGGGGCCGGGCTCCTGGTCACCTTTGGCCCTCCCCAGCCTGTGGCTGGTGCTCCGCCAGCCCCGTGGCCGGCTGGACACAGAAGGGCCGCGTGGATGGAGGGCACCAAGTCCTCTCCCAGGTCTGAGCCCGGCTGTCCCTGGGGAGTCGGGCTGCCAGGTCTGTCCCCTGCTCCCCTCTCCACAAAGCTCCACTTGAGGGGCGCCAGCAGCCGTCCCCTGGGAGCCCTGGGCATCCAGCCTGCGTCTGAGGCCCCTGTTGTCCCTGAGGACAACTGCGCTGCAGCTGCCGCCCCACTGTCCCCTCATTTCTCCTCCCCGTGCCACGCAGCTCCTCCCGCCAGTCCTGCCCTGGGCACCCCACCTCCTCTGGGGACCTCGGCCCTGGCTGGGCCCAGAGAAATGGCACAACGGACACCAGAAGGGACACTCAGCCGGGGCCACCAGCCGCTTGCTGCCCCAGACACCTGGCTGCCTTCAGGACCAGGGCCCGCTGGCAAGTCTGCCCACAAGGCCCACCGAGAACATCTCAGGGGGACCCTGGGCATCTCCTTGGCCTGCCCCTCCCAAACCCCTTGGCCTCAGCCTGCCCTGTACCCAAGCCTCCTCCCCACTCCCCCGAGGATCTTAGCAGCCTTGTTCTTGTTCCCTGGCACCCTCCCCAGGCCTGTGACGCGGCCGGGGGCTGGAGGCTGTTGCTAGGCGATGGCTGCCTGGCGCACACCCTCGCTGGGGGGACACCCACCCGTGGCTCAGCGGACCTGTTGCCACGGCGACCACAGCCCCAGCTTTGTCTGTAGAAACTTAAGATGGGGGGGCAGGTTGGACAACGGGCAAAGCCAGGCCTGTGTCCCCTCCACATCCCCTCCCCCACCCTGTTCTAGATGCCCAGTGGCAGAGGAGGGGCCCCGGGTGAGCCGAGGTGAAGGCTGGGCACTGGACGGGCTGCCGATGGAGGGCGGGGGCCGGGCAGGGGGTGCCCCTCAGCATCTTGTTTGGGGGCCTCTCCCTTGTGCTGGGTTGCCAGCTCCGTGCAGAGGGGGCGGTGGGCTCTCAGGCCCTGCCACAACTGCCCCCCCCCAAACGGCCAGCGAGGACGCCTGCAGAATCAGTCAGCAGGCCAGCCGGGCCTTGGGAAGGAGCCACTGTCCCTTCCGCCTGGACCAACTGGGGAACAATGTGGTCTTTGTTGCTCAGGGGTCCCAGGCCTGGCAGTGGTGGGCGGGGGGCCTCAGCTGGGCACTGACCCTCACTCTCCGCAGGGCGGGCTTCAGGAGGGCAGCCCTTGGGCCTGGGGCTGCGTGGGAGGGGGGCCGTGCGGCGGCGGCCACCTCACTTCGGTCACGGGTTGTCCCCTCTCGGCTTCGCCCTCTGAGGGGGAGGACGCCTCCCTCCCCAGGACCGGTCACCAAGGAGGACAAGAGCAGGTGAAGCTCCAGGGACACCGGGCGCCTCCTTCCCTTCCCAGCTCCGTTCTGCAGGGCTGGAGCTGGCCGGGCCAGAGCAGCCTGCGCTCCTCGGGGTGTGGGCGGTGACCCAGGGACACCCCAAGGGCAGCCATCTACACAGCGCCCCTCTCCTCTGCGTCCACCTTCGAGTGCTGCCTGAGGCCAGGTCAGGCCCCCGTGTCCCATCTACGGCTGCTCTCATACCCCCCCTCCCTGGGGGACACAGGACCCAAGAACGGAAGTTCCCCTGTCCTGCTCCCCAGGCTCCGGGCCAGGGAGGGCAGGGGACAGCCTGACCCCCACTTCAACCTCCTCACAGGGCGGGGGGCGGGGGGCACTGTGAAATCATTGAGTTCTGTGGACCAAATTCCACCCAGATTCTCCCCGAACTCCTCTGGCGGTGAGTGCCCCCCATCTGCACCCTGCACCCCCCAGAGGAGGCCCCGGGTGCCAGGGAGGTTGAGTGCTGGGGAGGGCTGGTGGAGCCGGGAGCCGCCAGGGCCACCCAGGCCCAGGGCCCAATCTGAAGCGTGTCTCCCTGCAGGGGGAGGTGAGGGGACCCCGTGTGCTGTGGATGCACGGGCTCCATTTCCAGGGTGAAGGGGAGGCTGAGCGAGCAGCAGGGGCGGAGCTTCACGGTGAAACTGGGTCAAGATGGCCTCGGATTTGGGTGAGCAGGGCCGGTCGCTGTGGGCAGTGAGGAGGGCACCCGGGTGCCAGTGGGTAGGAAGACAGCTGGAAGTGGGCGGAGGGGTGAGGGTACAGCCCCTCCCTGGAAGCCAGCAGCCGAGGAGGGAGGCCATCAGGTTCTGCCCTGAGGACAGTCGGCGGGCTCCGGCCAGGTGGGCCGTGGGGACAGAGGACTGGCTGTGGCCCAACTCGGGCTGCAGGTGAGGTGCTGTCTGGCTGAAAGGAAACTGGGCCCATCCCCCAACCACAATTTCCCGGGCCTTGGGCAGCCCCTTACACAGCCCCGAGTGACACTGGGCAGCTGTAAGCTTCCAGCTGGGGCCACAAGGTCCAACTGGACACAGAGGAGGCTGGCGAAGGCCCGGCATACGCGGGTGGGCGCCCCGTGAGGTGCTGTGGTGAGCCCCTCTCCGCGGCTGCTGGTGCTGCGTGGAGAGGTGCCACGGCCCCCCCCCCCCCCCCGCCCTCTGCGGAGGAAGAGCAGCACCACACACCCCCGGCACAAAATTGCTAATTTATTCGTGTTGTTAGGAGGCAAAAAAATGTACAGTTACAAGAATCGTTTTCCAAACAGAGGTTACGTATGAGCTGAAAAGTATAAAAAAAGAAAGAGGACTGTCACTTTACAAATCATTAAATTAAATAAACAAGCAAACATGAAACCCAAAGAGCCAATGCCCCGCTGAGTTCTGTCCTGGCGTGACTCTGGAAGTGAGGACAGAAAGCAGGAGGCCGGGGTAGGCCGGGGGCCACCACACAGGCACTGGGCTCTGGCCCCTGGGGCAGCCGGTCCGGGGCAGCTGGCTGTGCTGGGGCCCTACAAGGCTGGGGGCGGGAGGGGCACGTCCCGGGACTCTGTCAGCCTGTGACATGCCAGCAGGGACAGCCAGACCCAGACGGGGGACCTCCCAGGGCACGGGACAGCCGCCGGTGCCCCGAGTGCCGGCCTCCGCCTCCCCGCCCTGGCCCTGCACCGAGCCAGCCGCACCCCTCCTCACCAGGCTGCTCCTCCCAGACCCCGACTGGCCCCTGCAGCATCGAATGGTTGATTTTAGTCTTTGCTTAAATTAAAAAATTAAAATATATATACATATATATACTGTACACACAGGACAATAACAGAAGAGTGTTGGAAAGGGCAGGACGGGATGGGGACGGGGGAGGGTGGGGGCTGGGGCCAGGGCTGTGGAGAGGGGAGGAAGCAGGACAGGCGAGGGGACCGCAGGACAGGGGCGGGCGGGCGAGAGGTTGAGGGACCAGAAGGGAGCGATTTATTTTACAATAAAAACAGGAGTTCAAACCTCAGCAGAACAGGGCTCTAGGGTGCCCAGAGGGTCCCTCCCCACACCAGTGACGAGGGGGGGATTTGGGGGATAGGGGAGCAGGTAGGCGGGGAGCTCGGCATCAGGTCTGGAAGGGGGTCGCTGGTCCGAGGGGCGGGGCCACGTTCTCAGCTTCTCCGAGATTTCGAGTGTTGAATAAGCCACTGTAGGGTGATGTCTGGGTGGGGACAAGGGAAAGGTGAGAGGACTTCCTGGGCTGGGCCTGGGGGGAGGCGGAGCAACACCACGGGAGTGACACGGGAGCCCAGGGCTCCCCACACTGAGGCCAGGATCCACCCTCAGGCCACCGAAGCCCAGAGCCCGTGGCTGTGAAGGGCCCCAGGCAGGTGTCAGGGTGTCAGGGTGCAGGCGGGTCCTGGGGGGCACCCTATCTGGCCCTGGGGTGTTCCAGGCGGGGCGGCCAGGCCCAGGGTGGAGCCCTCCGCCTGAGGCCAAACAGGAGTGGCCCGCAGAGCTGGGAAGGTGCTTGGAATGGGGGCCTCCCCCAGGAGGACCTCGGCAGGGGGGTTGAGAGGGAAAGCGGGGCTTTGGGAACCACAGGCTAAACCGCCCACCAGGGCCTGCCCCCACCCCCTGCTACCCAGGACACCCGCAAGCCCCAAACCCACGCACCAATGTTGTCTTTTTCTTTGCAGGAGATGGAATAGCAGCAGATCTCACGATCCTGGATGGCAGATAGATTCCTGGGAGGGGGAACCAGAGAGGAATCTGCGCGGGGCCTGGGGTGGGGCCCAGAGGGTGAGGCTCCCAGGCAGGTGGGCTCTGCTGCCCCCGTGTGGCCGGCGCTGAGAGCAGACGCGTGCTGGGGAGCAGCCTGGGGGTTTGGAGAGCAAAGGGGGAAGGCAGAGAAAAGTCCCCAGACTCACATTTTCTCAATCAGCTCCTTCTCATCCAACGCTCCAGGGAGGTCTCGCTTATTTCCCAGGACCAAGACCTACAGAGAAGGGAGGGCCCGGGTTCAGGGCGGCGGGCCTGGCTTCTGCCTGCCCCCCCCCCCCACGTGATCTCACTGTACGCCTGGGCACCGAGGGCCCCGGCCCCCCCACGCCACCCGGAAGCTGACCGGGATCCCCTGCAGCTGGGGCTTGTCCAGCAGGTTGTGCAGCTCGTTCTTGGAGGCCTCGATCTTCTCCTGGTCAGCGGCGTCCACCATGTACCTGGGGGAGACGGCGGGACAGCGCGTGACACCACAGGGAAGGAGGGGCAGGAGCTGCAGCCTGGCGGGGGCCCCGGGAATGTTTCCTGGGCGGATGGAGGTGAAACCTGCAGGCACTCCCGGGCCTCAGGGTCCTGTCCCCTGCACCCGCCCCCCCCCCACCCCGTGTAGCTGAGCTTGGGCCTTCAGGGTCAGCGGGGAGACCCCCACCGAAAGCAACCCACTGAGGCCTTTGCGGGGGGACCTGTCAGTTCGAGGAACCAAGCCGAGGCAGGCCCAGCTGTCTAGCTCCAAAAAGTCAGGTCACAAACATTGGGGACTCATCTGCTGTTTGGGCATCTGCTCGCAGGGGGACGTTATCTTTAAAAAGCCAGGGAACGAACCCTTTAAACCACACAAAACTCAGGCCAGTGGTGGCTGCGGGGTGGGGGACTCGGGGAGACCCTGAGGAGGGCCGCACAGGCGTGTCCAGCGGGTGCGCGCTCTGCAGAGAAGCGGCAGGCCCAGCGCGGCAGCGGGTCACGCACAGGATCACCTCTGATCAGCTCTGCGTCTGGGCCCGGGGAGGCGGGGCCGGCCGGGGAGGCGGGGCCGGCCGGGGAGGCGGGGCCGCGACCCGAGGGCACTCACACGATGGCGCTCACGCCGCGGCAGTAGCGCTCCCACATGCTGCGGAAACGGGGCTGCCCCCCGATGTCCCAGAGCTGAGCAAGAAGAAGGGGCAGCGTCTCAGCAGCGGGCAGGCAACCAAAGCCTCTTGCCTCCCAGGTGCCCCCCCCCCATGGCCTCCCGAGGCTCCCTGCTCCCATCCTCCACCTCCCTCCACGCTACCTTGATGGTCACGTTTCCCTTTGTGATTTTGCGCATGTTGAACCCCACCGTGGGGATCATGTCCTCGTTGAACTGCCCTGACTGGAGGGAGAAGCGAGAGTCGGAAAACGGGCAAAAGTCGACCAGACCCCGAGAACCTCCCAGATGACACAGAGGTCGGAGCGCCTCTGGCGCCCCCCTGCGGCCAGCTCAGGAGCACCCCAGGCACCCGTCCCACCCTGGAGGTCCCCCCATGACCGAGAGGCCGGTGAGCCTCTCTGCACAGACCCAGAACAAGCTCTTCAGGGGCTCCGACCGGGCTCCCCCATTGGAACAGACACCTGCCAAGCGGCAGAGCCCTGAACAGCTCGCAGGAAACCGTCAGGGGTCTCCAGGGAAGCACACATGTTTTGGAGGGTAAACCAGCCACCCCCAGTGCACACGCAGTGCACACCCAGCACTTTCTGGATTCTCCCTGGTCTTGTGCGTCTGTCCCCGCCCCCCCCCCCCCCCCCCGCACTCGTGAGGACGGACCCGGACGCTGTGCGATCTGCGACTGCGCACGGCCCCGCTCAACCACGTCCACAACGTCAGTAGACGCTGCGGAGCACGGGGGGCTGGACGGTAAGTCTACTTCGCAGGACCCATTTCCAAACCCTAATACTTCTCATTTCTCCCCTGTAAATTGTCTCCGGGATTTCTAGAGTGTTCCCAGTAGCCAGAGGCCTCATCTAAGGGCAGACCAAACTCAGGGTCACATCTATGTCCCACAGAAGAACGCAGGCTGCAGCCGACTCAACCTGGTCCCTGAGAGTGACAGACTCTCTCCTCCACCGCGGGGGCTGGGGGGACATTTACTAAACACATTATGAGATATTCTTGTGATTATGTATCACAGTGTATCTAACGAGTGGCCCCAGACAATTCGTCCTCTTCCAGTGCAGCCCAGAGACGCCCAAAGGCTGGACACCCCTGGTAGGAGCTGGGGTGTCTTCCTCAGAGCTGTGCGCCTACCCCAAGGCCCCTCTGACCGAGAGCACCCAGGTCCCTGGTGATCTGTGGGAACCCCCACCATGTTCAGGCCCTCGGATGCGAGGCCCAACAGCCCAGGACTCCCGTTAAAGCCCAGACCCAGGGCCTGAGGACCCCCGCACCACCCAGCACTACAGGAACTGCGTGCTCACACTTGTGTCCATGTGTGTGTATTTTCCAGGGAAAGGGCCTCCCAGTCCTATCCGATGTCACAGGGTCCAAGAGCCCCCCCAGGTCAGCAGTCTGAGGAAAGGCAGGCTCCCTGAGAAGTGCTCCTCTTCTGGCAGAGCGGGGACAGCCACTCGTCCCCGGGGCCCCCAAGTCCCAGCGGGGTGCCGGGTGGGGACGGGCATCTGTGGGACCAGCGTCCACTCCATCCCCATCGTGGCCGTTGAGGACATCGAGCTCAGGTACCGCTTACCTCCTGTCCTGCAGGGGCCGGGACAGGACACCTGAGCCTCCGGGCCTCAGGGCTTCCTTCTATGACAGGGTGTCAAACTGATGTTCACTGGGAGCCATGTCAGCCTGTCTGCCTTCAAAGGGCCGAATGTGATTGTAGGGCTGTGTAAATGTAACCACTCCTTAACTAGGGGCAAGGAGCTCGGCACTGCCGCTGGGTAGAAACAAGGCGCTGGGCCGGACAGAACCAGGTGGAGGGCCGGGTTCAGCCCGAGAGGGCCTGGCGTGTGCCTCCTGTGCTCTATGACGTGCGGACAGGGCTTCTGTTTCAAAGCTAGCGGACGAGGATCACAAAAGCTTGGGTGTGGTGGACGCAGCACGAGGACCCGTGACTGCTCCTCGGGAACCAGAGGACCCTCAGGCCTCTGTGCAATGACGAGCCCAACCTGGAAGCTGTGACCTTGGGCACATGGGGTGCCCGGAGCACCCTCAGGTGCCAGGGCAGCTGTGAACCGCGCTGACTGGGACCCCGTGAGGACTTCCTGTCCTCACTGACACCTCCCGATCTCACAAGTTCCATTCTGAAGGTCAGGAGCAGCACTGGCTGGGGTGGCCCAGTGGACTGAGCACCAGCCTGAGAACCGAAAGGTTACCGGTTGGATTCCCAGTTGGGGCACACGCCTGGGTTGTGGGTCAGGTCCCCAGAGGGGGGTGTACGAGAGACAGCCAGTCAATGTTTCTCTCCCTCTTTTTCTCTCTCCCTTCCCCTGTCTCTAAAATAACTAACTATAATCTTAAAAAAAAAAAAAGAAGTTACCTGTGGTCGGTCAACCACAGTCCAAAAATATTGAGTGGAAAATTCCAAGGACACACAGTTTGTGAGTTGAAAGTGCACACCCTCCTGAGTGGTGTGATGAAATCCCGCGCCATCCCACTTGTCCTGCCGGCCTGGGCCGTGAATCACCGCTTTGTCCAGTTTCCACGCCGCACGCCCAGGACAATGAGACGATTTGTAAGCAAGAGACCACATTCCCGCAACTCTGATTTTGGTCTGTTGTTACAAGTGTTCTATTTTGTTATTAGTCGTTGTTGTTAATCTCTCACTGTGCTGCACGTACAGAAAGAAACACAAGGCTCCGGTCCGCAGTTTCGGGCACTTGACAAGGGGAGACACTCTAGAGGGTGTGCGTGGGGTGGGGAGCCCTGGAGGGCCTAGGCCCTGAGTGACCCTGGACCACAGCTCCACGGAAGCCCAGGACATGGCTTTCCTGAAGGGATGTTTGCTTGCGCTTTGGGATGTGTGCACTGAAGGATACATTTCGTATCAAAAGGGGGGTGCCTGTGCTGGGCAGGGGGGCCATCCCTGCACCTCCCGGGCACCCCTGACCCTGACAGAGGAATCTGCCCCTGCCCTGCCCTGCCCCAGTGCCCCAGTGTCGCTCTGCATGCGACACTGGCCCAGAGGACACCCTTCTGACCAGGAAACGGAAGCCACTGGGGTGCCCGTGGAGGCTGGTCCAGGGTCCAGGAGATGGCTTCCGTGGTGCTGTGTGAAAAGTTCCCCAGGGACACTCAGGCTCAGCTCCTAGGGTGGCAGCAACTCACTTCCCCTCTTGGCGGTGCCCTGGAGACATCGCCTGGATACGAACCCTGGATACCGAGGCTGGGAAGCGGTGCCACCCGGGGCCTGGGGGATCGGGGTCGGGCCCTGCACACCTGCTCACGGAGCCCGGGGCCCAGGTCAGTGCCGAGTCTAACCAGCGGTGTCTGGCCCCAGGGCCGGACCTGGGTGGACAGGCGCTCCGGAACCATGGTGCCAAAACACCCAGCTCGGGCCTGAAGATCCTGCCAACACCCGTCCTCTGCCAAGCAGAGTTCGAGAAAGGCAGCTGCTGCCGGAACGTAGGGACCCAGGCTGCGGGCTCCTCCAGCCTTTGGTCTAAGGGAAGGCTCCCTTCTGGGGCCTGTCAGGCAGGATGGCTGGCCAGCCACACTTCTCCGCTGACTTACCTCATCAGCATTTCTGGCCGGTCTCTGGCCGGTCCACAGTTCTGAGGATCCCCAGCATGGGACTGGGACCAGGTCCCAACCTTCCTGCGCCCCCCAGCCAACCCTGCGGGGCTGGGCCAGGAAGGCCAAGAGCTCACACACCGCAAGGCTCATCTTCCCCTTTTTTCCCCGAGGACAGAGACTTTAACCCCTTCGGCGCCGCTGCCCTGGCACCGGGCCTCACCATCACCCACCTCCGTCCTGCCTGCGGGAGCCCGCGGGACCACCATCTCCCAGGCCCCAGAGTGGGCAGCGCCCCTCGGACTCCTCTCTGGTCCCAAGCACCTCCTCCTGCAACTTCGGAGTCAGGCGGGGCCTCCAAACTCCCTTTACGACGCCCTCCTCCCGGACGCTCCCGGAGGCGCCCCTCGGGGAGGGTGTCCTGGAACGGGAGGCTGGGCTCCGGCCCAGGGCCTCAGCTGCCGATTCCAATAACCCCGGGGGACACCTCCCTTCCCCCTCAACAGCGCCGGGGCTTCCTCTTCCGGCAAGAAGGGGTTAAAGCATCAGGGTGCGGCTGGCCTAGCCCAGACCCCCTCCCGAGGCCCTCGGGCCACCGGGTTAGCACGCTGGGTGGGCTGGCCCGGCACTTTCGCTCCGTCATGCCCTATTTCGCGGGGGTGGAAAGGCCGTCGCGCTGGGCGGAGAATCCCTCCGGTCGCGTGACCCCTCGGGGCCGCGGGTCTCGGGCACCAGCCCTGTGCCTAGTCCCCCGCCCCTGCAGTGCCATTCCGGCCTGGCGGGAGCGCGGGTCGCGCGCCCCCGGGTCCCCGCGAGCAGTGCTAGGCCCCAGGCGCCCGGCCGCTCCTCCCCCCGGCGCCGGGCCGGCCCAGCGGCGACCGGCTGCCCCCCTCAACCGGCGCGGCAGGCGGGGACAGGCCGACCTCCGCGCCCCGCGCCCCGTACCGCGATCACGTTGACGAAGGTGGTCTTGCCCGAGTACTGGAGCCCGACCAGCGTGAGCTCCATCTCCTCCTTCCAGAACAGGGCCTTGAACCAGTCCAGCAGCTTGTTGAACAAAGCGATCATGGTCACTGCGCTCGCGCTCGGCCAGAGCGGCCTCGGTGCGCCGGGTCCGCGGGGTGCCCGGGGCTCGGGCGCGGGACGACTCGCGGCCGGATCCGCTCGCTGCTGGGTGTGGCCTCGGCGCCGCCGCCGCCCCCCGCGCTCCCGGAGCCGAGCCGGGGCCGCGTCCTGCTCGCGCCCGAGCGCGCGCGCCTTCCACCGGAGCGGGGCCGGGGTGGGGTGCGCGGGCTGCGGCGTCCGGGCCGCTCGGGGAGCGAGGACTCGGTTTATTTGTCCCCTTCCCTCGCGGCCGCGCCCGACTGGCACCTCCTTCCTTCCTGAAGGGTGGTGGGCCCGGGCCGGTGACGTCCCCAGAAAGCAGGGACACGTGACCGGGGCGGAGAGGGTGCTTCACCCACTTCCCAGGACAAGAAGACCAGGCCTCTGTGCCAGGGGGGCCACGGAGGACTTGTTCCCTGCATCCCTGCCTGCGAGCGTCTCTGGGCCCTGGGCCCCTCCCCCGGCGCGTCCCCAGCAGGGGCCACACGGGCGGTTGGGTGTTTTCTGACTCATCTTGTTTGGTTCATGATTTACCCAGAACCGCTTGTTTGGGGCCTTCTGGCCCAAGGTGAAGGAGATGTTTGAGGCTGTTGAGGCTGAAGGAGATGTTGATTTCCTCTACTAATATCAGCACGATGTTTAGAAAAATATCATTTGGGGTGGGGTGCAGCAAGAAAGGTTGGCAGCAAATGAAAAAGTTGGGCTGTTTTGGTAAAAGCTGAAGTTTCTTTCCAGAGCCCTGCCGGGACGCCCCTGGGCCTCTGAGGACCCAGCCCAGGGCCTGCCGAACCCAGGCTCCCGGCCACCCCCGCCCTCTGCCCTGTGCTCCCTGGTTCTTGGTGGCCACATGGAGGCTACTTCAGTCAGAGGTGCATGAGCCGTCAGCGCCAGCCATCTCCGTCACTCCCACTGCAGATGAGCGCACAGCAGCTGACAGGAGCCCCGTCAGCCTCCAGCGCAGCATCTGGGGGCTTAAGCATCACCTCCCTAAACTCTGCCCTTTATGGGCCCCTCTCTAGCTCACCAGGTGCACACTGCCCATTTCCTAAACTGACTCGGTTTCACTCTGTGCTCAGGTCCTCGCAAGGGCCAGGAAAGTCCCTGGACAGCTGCAGCCGGCCTGGTCTGCGGCTTCCTTCTCTCTGTGTTGCTATAAAGAGACCCCAGGGGCCCAAGAAGTCGGTGGAAGGATGGAAAGAATCAGCCACTCAAGGCTCTTTATTTTCTCTCAGTTCCTTTTCCATAGCACTGCCCACTGTGTGTGGAACATGGTGGGTCTGTGTGCCCAGGGAGGGAGCCTGTGGGCCAGCATCTGGGAGCCAGCCTCGGACAGGGCCAGGCCCTTGAGAGCACAGGGCCCAGCTTCCCCGGGCACACAGGGGCGCCAAGCCCCTTCCAGGGCTGTGGGGAAGGTAGGTTTCCTCAGCAAGGCCAGGCGGAGGCATGAAAAAAAAAAAAAAACAACTTCCAACCTCCGACCTCCATCTCAGCACTGCCAGGGGTGCCGGGCCTCTCTCCGGAAGAGCTGGGGTGAGTGGCCAGCCAGCGGTTCTGGAGGCAGGGCCGTCCCTCTGGGCCTGGGAGAGGGGTCCCCACACTTTCCCTCTTCCAGAGACGTCAACTGCCCGGCCCGTTCCCCTGCATATCCGTCACTCCCAGGATACCTGTGGGCTCAGAGGGCGCCTGGAAGGCCAAGCCACCCTCACAGGTGTGGGGTGAGGAAGTGCATCCCAGTAGGGGAATCTGACCGAGGTCAGGACAGGCCTCTGGCCCCAGCATCTGGTCTGTCCTGAGCAGGGCACAGGGACAGGCCGTCCTGTCGGCCCAGGAAGGTGGGACCACGAGCGGTTTCCATTCTTTTTCCTTAATGGCAGCAAAGCGTGAATGTCAGACACATGGAGGCTGCTGCTCACAGGGCGCCTGGCAGCCTCGCAGGTCTGCTGAGAGTCCCCCCCCATCCTACTCTCAGAGGCACAGGCAGGTTCCCCCTGCGGCCCACTTGGGGCCACCAGAGCGAGCAGAGGGGCGGCCAGTAGGGAAGACCTGGTGTCTGCCTGTGGTCGTGGCTGATTGGTGTCCTGTGACCCCACACTCGCTGAGGGGGCACCTCTTCCCCATGGCCACCCAGGGGGTCCACAGCTCGGAAGGCCCACCTTCCCAGGCCTCGAGGAGAGGTGCCTGGGGGGCGGAGGGCGCCAGGGCTCAGGGGCTGGGCTCCTCCGGCAGCTGCGCGGCGTACAGGGCCAGGGTGTGGTGCAGGAACTGGTACTGCTCCGCCGTCTGGATCATGCCCCCCCTGTGGGCGCAGCACGCAGATGTGAGTCCCTTGGCAGCCCTCACTTCGCCAGGGAGCCCCCCCCACCTCTCTGCTTCCTACTCCTTTCTGCTGCCCCCGGGCCTGCTCCCATGGGAGCCCCCTGCCCCTTCCTTACTCAGGACTGAGCCTGGGGGCTGTGCAGAGAGGACGCCCCCTGCTGGTGCACGGTCATGTGCAACCCATCAGCTGCTGGGGCAGAACAGGCCCCGGCTCCCCAGGCCCAGCCAGGAGTATTCCTGGGCACCAAGGCCTCCTCGTCCCAATAATCCTAGGCAGAAAAGCAATAAGCCCGCAGAGGTGTACAGCAGGTTCTCACGTTCCCAACCCGCTGACACAAGCTAACTCGGGCCCGTGGCGCCTCTCTGCGGACGGGGCCAGGGAGGCAGAGGAAGAACTCTGTGAGGCGAGCCCCAGTTGGCTCCTGGGGTTGACAAGCAAACCCCATCCCCCCCCGCCCCCCCCCAGCAGTGGGTTGGGAAAAACAGAGTCAAAACCCAACAAAACATCACTGTAGGCTGGGGCGGTATAGTTAATTCTAGGTCCCCAAGCAGAAGTTCTGGGGAGAGATGTTTTCGTGGGAGCCAAAGAAACAGCTCCGTGAGCAAAGGGTGCTTTCTCTCTCCCGGGCAGCGCTTGCTGGCCATGAGCCTGTAGGTGCTCTGACCCCGGGAGGTTCGGGGGCCACTCGGTGTCCTTGTCCCACTCACAGTCAGGGGCCCACCTGTCCAGCCGCAGTTGGCACACGATGCCCAGGATGTCCACTTCCCCGCGGGCCTTCAGCTGTTGGCAGCCTATCCGGGTGGCGATGAAGCAGCCGGTCCGGCCAATCCCTGCACTGGATGTGGCCAGGGAGGAGACGGGAGGTCACAGGTGACGGGAACGAGGGGGCCAGGCCCCGAATCAAAGAGAAAGCGCCAGGAACTAATGCACCCTGTTTGGCGGCTGTGGACATGGGGGCAGGGAGGTGGCAAGGCCTTGGCAGGTCACAGCCGGCCCAGGACGAGCTACATTTCTTACTGACCTCGCTCGGAGCCTATGCCAGGTCACCCTCAGGTCCCTGTGGGTGTTTGATAAGCTCGTGACAGCGGTTTCCAACGGCCTGCGCCCACGCTGGCCTGCTGACCCTGGGCTCTCCTTATCTGACCATGACTTCCTCCCAGAGGCGGACACCACCCATCCCCACCTCGGGCCTCCCACAGTTCTCTCTCTTGCCCTTGATTTTGAAATCAACCTGGGTGTCCTTCTCCGAACCCCTGATAGAAGTCACTCTCCACCTTCCCTCCCCTGCAGGGACCACTGTGTGTGTGTGGGGGGGGCGGCTGTCCCTGTTGCCTCTGCGTTCTGCTTCATTAAGGAAAGGCACTCCCAGAGGGTGTCCTCGTTGTGAGCTCACCCCCTGCACAGCCCCCACGACACCCCGACCTGCCTCTGACGCTGTAGCCAAAGTCTTCCTTCCAAACGTCAGCGGGGCCGTGAGGCCCCCCATCCCTGGGTTCTCTGTAATCACCCCTCACCACTCTCCCCTCCCGGTGCCCTCCGGGCCCCCAGCCTCGGACGCTGCGGGCAATGTGTCCTTTCAAACACCTCGTCTCTGGGCCTTTGCAAACGCTGTTCCACCCGCCTGGAACGAGGCCCCTTCCCCTCGCCACCTTTCAGGTTCCAGTTCAGCTCGGACTCAGCTCGGACCCCTGTGTCCAGGGAAACCCCCTCTGCCCGAGGTCTGGGCTGGGCTGCGCGAGGGCGGGCCGAGTACCTGCAGTGGACCACCACGGGCCCCGCGCTGGCCGCTGCCTCCAGGCTGTCCTCCACCTCGGCCACCAGGCGCAGCAGTGGCCGGGCCGACTCCGGGGTCTGGTGGTCAGGCCAGGCCGAGAAGAGGATGTGCCTCACCGACCGGCACTGCTCCTGGTGCTGGCGGGACACGTGGCCTGAGGCCCGGGGACAGGGTGGGGAGCACCCCAGCCCAGGGCAGAGGGGAAGGGACCCCGAGCCAGGAAGGCCAGCTCTTTTCCTGCCTGTCATGCTCCACCCCCGACCCCGACATGCTGGGAAGGAACTCGGGCTGGGAGAGGGGACGGTCCCCTTCTGTCTCCAATTAGCACATGACTTTGGGAAAGTCCCTTCAGCCCACTTTCTTCATCAAGAGAATGGGGACAATGACATCTTGCTGGGTCATACCCTGGGGGGCAGGAGGGTGATGAGTCAAGAGAGAAGTGCTGTGACAAGTGCCCAACGCTGCCCAGTGATAGAAGGCACTTGGAAGCACATCCCGAGTCCCCTCCCTCCCATGCCCCGTGCAGCTGGGCCACCCCAGGCTCTGCCCTGAGAGTGGCGCCCACGCCCCTCTGTCGTCTGTGCCCCAGTTGCTTCTTGCAGACCCAGGTCTGAGGACGGTGGGAGACGTAGACCCTGGCCCCAGGGGAGCTGGGGGCCCGGCCGCCCTTGGGAGGAGCGCGCACCTGGATGGTGAGCCTCCGCACGGAGTATTCCGGAAGCTCTCTCTCCTCCTGTACGCGGATCCGGAAAGGCCCGTACGTGTCCTCATCTGTGGGCCAGTAGTGGACACATTTCTAGGAGGGAGGGAGCTGGGAGTCAGGAGGAGACGCTGAGCTGGGGCGGCCGGGGCTGCGGGGTGTCCCCACCCACCCCACCTGCAGACGAGGCACTCCCCCCCCTCGGCGCGTGGGTATCTCAGGAACTTTTCTAGGTGAGTGGGGCGGCCTGGGCCTGCCTGTAGGTGTTCTCCGCCTCCAGGGGGTTCTGTGCTGCCGAGTAGGTGTGTGTGGGGGGTGCAGCCCCTTCCGGGTTCACCAGGAGCCCTGGCCCCGCCTCCTACCTCCTTGCTCTCTCGGAGCTGAGTGAGCATGACGATGAGCGAGGCGCCTTCCTGCCACACCATCTCCCAGAAGTCCGACACGGTGTTGGGCATGGGGCCCTGGGTGGCGATGTAGACCTTCTCCTGCCCGTCGTAGCCCTGGGGGGGGTGCACGAGAAAGGGGGCAGCGGTGAGAGGAGGGCTCTGGGGAGACCGGGCTCTGCAGGTGCCAGGACCAGGCTGAAGCAGTGAGTGTGGACAGGCATGTGCACACGCAGACACACACATGGAGATACATGCATACATGTGCACATGCCACGAGCACACAGAGGAAAAGACAGGGGTTCCTGAGTGAGGCCCGTTGGGTCTGGACCCCAGTCCTGCTGCTGGCTGGCTGGCGGTTACCCTGCCCCCGGAGCCTCGGCTGTCTCATCTGTGAATTGGGTACAATCTGTCCCTTGCAGGAACACAGCGCAGCTTAGATTCATAGTGTTGCCAGAGACCAGCGCGTCGTACCAGGTCTCTGGGCACCTGCTTCCCTCTCCCCCGCTCTCTCCTGGCGCCAAGTGCGAAGCTGCTCTTTCACATTTGCTGAAGGAGCGTTTCGGGTTACCATACTCCTTTTACGAACCGAGTAGCAGGAGGAAGCCCAGTCTGGCCAGCCCTCCTTTCTCCCCTTCAGAGCTCTCGGCCACGGGCTGCCCAGGGCGGCGGGGAGACCCGGGCTTCTGCTCCTTCTGCCGGCAGGTGGGGATCGTGTTCCCCCAGGTCCCAGCCTAACCAACGGCCTTGCGTCTTGGCGCCCGGCGCCGTCCCACCACTGCGGGGCCCTAGGTGGCGCTATTTCCCCACAGCATCAGGGCCCGGGCGGTGGGAGGCCGGAGCCCCCCAGGCCTGGTGTCCCGGTTGCTACGGGTTCCTGTGTGGCTTGATGGGAACCACGTCCACAGCGGAGGGGCTGCATGGGGACAGGTGAAGGTGGGAGGGAGGGGGAGAGAGAGAGGCAGCGGCAGCGAGACCGCCATTTGTGCAGACTTCGTGGACCCGGCTCCACCTGCCACCTCCCGGCCAGGTGTGGCAGGGATGCGCCGAGGGGTGGGATCGGGACACCTGGGGGCCTTTCTTTCAGCTTGTTTCACATACGCTCTGTTTTCTCGGGGTGTCGTAGGGACTCAGTGTCTGGCCAGCCTGGCAGCCAGCCGTGAGTCGGGGTGGGAGATACCCCTGGGTACCCAGCCCCCCAGGCGCGGCACTCACGCGGATGTAGTTGGCGTTGATGTAGTCCCCGTCCTCCCGGCTCTGGGCCCGGCCAAGATGAACTCGACTGTGTGGATCTAGGCAGGCAAGTCAGCGAGGGTCAGAGGTCAAAAGGTGACCTGTGAGGGCAGAGTGCTGGGGCGGAGGAAGGAGAAGCCCTGTGGCACCCTCAGCGCCTCTGTGTGGCTGTGACTGGCCCTCTGTGGACGGGAGGGGCCCCGCCGCGGTGTGAGTGGTGCAGTGACAATGTCCAGGCTGGGGTTTGGGGTTGGGGGGTGCTGCGCAGGGTGGGACATGGGGAGGGGCAGAGAGCAGAGCACTGACGAGTTGTGTCCTGGTGGGGAACGGGGTTGAATCAGAGGGTGGAAGGGATGCTGCTGAGGTTTTCCCAAGGTGGTGGGGAGGGGCAGCTGTCCCAGACCCCCTCCCCGCAGGGCACCAAGGCCACTCCAGAGGGATGCATGTGCCCTCCGGGCAGAGGGTGCCAGGAACCTCAGGCAGAGGGGGCTCCCAGCTCTGGGGACTGGGAGGCCGGGTAATCAGTCCCCAAGCCCTGTGGTCAGCGGCTGGGCCTGGGGTCGAGGATGGGCAGGAACCTGAGCCGGGCCCTCAAGGCTGGCAGCTGCTCCGGCTGAGGCTGCTCAGCGGGGTGGGGGGCAGGGAGCCGGGCCCAGGCCCGTGGAGTTTGAGGCCCCCGGACCTCTTCCCCCGTCCTTGTCATGTCCCCCCCCTCCACCGCATCTCAGGTTTTTCAAGCCCCTCCCTGGGCGCCACCCCTGCAGCCCTTCCCTGGGTGCTCCCCACGACACCTCCAAGGAGGAGGAAGAAGAAGGTTCGGTGCCACCAGCTGAGTCACCTTGGGCCGGGCGTGCAGCGGCCCTGCGACTCAGTTTCCGCATTTGTGGGGCGGGGATACCATAGCACCATAGTGCCAACATCAGGTGTCCTTTTGAGAGACTCGGAGCGGAGCCGGCCCCGAGAGCAGCCCCGTGCGTGGGAGGCTGACTCCCCCAGGGACAGGCGTGGCAGTGTTGGGGTGTCCTCTGAGATACAACCCGTGGGTGCTCCCTGGTTCTCCCCTGGCTGAGACCATGCATCCTGAGTGATGCTGACCCCAGGGACAGCCCTGCCCCTGCCCTGCTCCCCCCAAAGTCCTTACTGGGCAGGATGGTCTTGTACCGGTCCTTGGAGGCATGGCCAGGGATGTCCAGGTCTTCAGGGTTGACAAAGTTTGGGGGGATCTTCTAGTGAGGGGAGGACATGAGTGAACGGCCGACACCCCTGTCCAGCCCCCCCCACCCCGCCATCCCCCTCCACCCTTTTCTGCTGGAGCTGGGCCCTGGTGGTCCGGCCTCCTGGCAGTGGCTCGCAGGCCTGGGTGGACGGAGGCAGAGGAGAAGCCTGGGGCTGTCTGCGCCCTGTAGCCTGGGGTTCTCTTCCCTGAGAGGCCCCCTCACAGTGCACAGAGCAGGACGGAGCCTGGGATTCCGAAGGGCAGGGGGACCCCACGTTCTTACCAAGAACTCCTCCTCCAGCTGCTGCGGACTGGGGGGCTGGTGCTGCAGGGCCCAGCGGGTGAGGGGGCGGCTGGCGGTACGCAGGAAGTGCAGGGTGACCTCCCGCGGCGTGTTCACTGAGCAGATGGGCTCCACCGCGCCCAGGGAGCGCACGTCCAGCACCAGCGCCACGCTGGAGCCCCGCCTGCGGGCACGGCAGCCAGGCCTGGTGAGCAAGTGCCCATCGCCTGGGCCCTGCTTTTGCTTATCACTGACTCGGGGATGTCAGAGGCGGTCCCCCCTGCCTCCCTGAGCCACGGTCCCCTGAGTTCGGGGTTCAGGACCCTTCTCTGGCTCTTTTCCCTTCCCAGCCAGAACAGGGCAGCCGAGGGCCCAGTGGCCGGCTCCAGCAGCCCGCCGGCCCCGCCCCTGGCCTGACTCTTAGAGTTGGGAGCTAGGTTCAGACTGAAGACAGCCCTTCTCCAGGGGCCCGAGGACAAAGCTGGGAGCAGGGACAAGGCTGACATGAAACTCTATGCCCCAAATTGTAAAGAGCATGCAAATGACATGCAAACGGACACGGGGTTTCCTTTCTAGACTACGGTCAGCAACTGAGGGCCCCTGGGCTCCCCGTTCTGGGCTGGAGGGGTGGGCAGAGGGGTCGGGGGTCGGCGCCGGGCTCACAGCCAGGAAGGCCCTCCAGCCCCCGGGAAGGGCCTCACCTCTCCTGCAGCCGCACATGCTTCTTGGCCGGCGCTTTGGCGGGCGGAAGCTGGGTCATGGCTACCCCCAAAGACCAGGCCGTCGGCTGTGCTCTGGAGCGCCCCCCACAGGCCTGGACCATGCTGGGGGCTGCTGGGCCCGGGGGAGGCTCACTCAGCCATGAGGTTTGCCTGAAAGACAGAGCCCCTGGGCTGCTGAGTGCCGGGCTGCCGCGCAGGGGAGGGGCCCCAGACCCAGGCCGCCTCCTGCCCTCCTCCTCCTCCTCCTCCTCCTCCTGTTTGCACCGGTGATGGGGGGAGCCTCTGTTGCCCACAAAATGGTGTCGTTCACCTTAGCAAGGCCAGGCTCTGCACCGGGGGACCCAGGGTGGCTGGCAGTGTGGGGTTAGAGGAAGGGCAGGATGAGGGCAAAGATTGCGGGTGAAGATGGACAAGAATTTAGAAGGTGCAGAGAGGGGCAGAAGGGCACCCGGGCTGCCTCAGACTGAAGTTCGCGGACCCAAGTTCACAGCCGGGCCCCAGGCTGGGGGCTCAGAGAGAAGGTGAGAGAGGAAATTCGGAGCCGGCGCTCCGCGGACAGGGTCTGGAGCCCACAGGCACCACCTGCGGCCCAGCCATGGGCCTTCTCTGAGTGAGAAGCCCCGACCCCTGCCCGCCTGTGGGGACCGGGCCTGCCGACTGCCGGCCCCCATGGGGACCCTCCCAAGTTCATTCTGGCTTCGGGGGTCCCCATGTAGAGAGGTAGGTTGGGGCTGTTCCTTCCTCCTCTGCCCATCCCCCCTCTCCTGCCTCCGTAACTGTCACAGGAAATGGCCTCACCAAGCCCTTGAGCGACAGCGCATGGTGAGGAGACGCCGGGGGCAGGAGAGGGGCACAGAGGTGGGGGCTGTCTCCTCTTGGGGGACAGTCCCCATCTTCCAGGGCCAGGGTCGCATTTCCGTGGTGTGGGGGTGGGGGTGGTTGCTAAGGCCGCAGGGACCGAGGCGGGGAGGACAGAGTGGCCCGTGCAGAAGCGGGCCGCACCGAGGGGCTCTCCGCAGCTGGAGGGCTCCTTGGCTCTCCTGTCCAGGCGGCCCCTGCGGCCCGGCCCTGCATCCTCGGGGACACCAGCTAGGTCGGCAGCCACTGCCCAGCCAGACACTGGCACCCAGTGCGCCCTCCTGGGGTTGCCCTCGCGCCTCCGCGTGGCTCCCACCACCCCAGGGCCACAGAGCACCTCTTGCCCCCGCCCCCCATTCTTGACTCACCGAAGCAGCTGCACCCCCCAGGCTGCCTCTTGCCAGCTGTCTGTCTGTCTGTCAGTCTGTCTTTGAGGCTCAGTAAGCTTCAGGAAGCCAGCTTCCTCCCTCCGCCCCTCCTAGCTGCCACCCACGCACACCCAGCTGCATGCTGCCCTCCTGCCGCCACCAGGGGTCGGGTGCCTCCTGCCTGTGCCCCTCTGGGGACGGCCTGGCAGTGTCCCTGCACCTCTGCCCTGGGGTCGAGGCCTGCTGCTGGGGTTGGTCGAGCTGGTCGTTCCCAACCACCCCAGACCCTCTTCAGACCGGTTCACTGGGCTGTCTCCCCACTGGGATGGTCATGTCCAGCCGCTGCTGCCAACTTGCTGGGCAGAGTTCAGCTGACCCCCCAGGGAGCTGTTGCCCAAACTGACCTTGGCCGGAGACTGGTGTCCACAGCTCTGCTTCTGCCTCAGTGCCTGGCCCCGGCTCTGCTGGCCTCTCCAGAGTGGGGAGTTCACGGTCAAAGCCCAGGCTGCTCCAGGGCAGGGGTGGGCGCAGACGGGGTGGTCAGGGAGAACAGGAGGCACACGCCGGGCCCCAGTGGGCCCCAGGGGTCGTCCCCGGGGCCGAGCCACATGGCAGCTCCTCTGGGAGCAGGCAGCCCAGACGCTGACTGGAGGAGCTGGGGAGTGGTCCCGGTCCCCAGGCCTCCTCCCGGCACGCCCACCGCCTGCGCCCTCACTGCCGGGACACCCATGCCATCTCTGCTCTCGAGGAGCCTGGGGCCTGGGGAGCGGGCCCGGTGCCCCAGCCTGCACGCCCCCCCCCCCCCGCTCTGCTTCCCCTCAGCAGGTCCGTGCTCTGCACTTCTGTCCCCTGCACCTGGACACGGCAGACACCCTCCCCCCGGCCCCCAACACCCACAGCTCCGTCCTTTCCCTTCCACTTCTCTGATTCAGCCGTCAACGGTGACAGACAGAAAGGAACTAGGTACAATAGACACAGGGGCGGTGCGTGGGGGGCAGGGGAGGGCTGGCCGGCTGCTGGCCCAGGGGCTGGGGACGAACCAGCAGCCCTCGGGACTGGTGGCCTCCCAGCGTGTCCCTGGGTGTAGGCGGTGGAGACTGGGATGGCTGCCCTCCGAGGCCAGCTGGTCCTGGCCCCTTCCTCCCCCTCTGGGGGTGCATTTCCCAAGGGGGCTGATCAGAGCTGGGTAGTACTTGGTGCCCAAGACTCCAAGGGACAGGCAGGATCCCAGGTGTCCCCGATACCTGTGGGGACTGACATCAGGCCACCCCCAAACTAGGGGGCCAATAAGGGGGGTCCTGAGACCAGAGAGGAGCAGGAGGGCGTTGGAAAGAGGGCCACCCCCTGCGGGTCACACTGGAGATGGTTATCGAGAACAGGAAGCTAGGGGATCGCAGGGGGGGAGGAAGTGGGCAAAGCCTTCCCCCCAGGGCGACCATGCCCCTGGTCTCCATGGCCAGAGCCCTGCTGGCTGTGAGCACTCCTGACCTTACCAGGCCGCTCCCACGGCAGAGGGAGGAGCTGGGAGCCCAGCTCTCGGGCAAGCCTACAGTGTGGGGCACGGGTGGTCTCTCAGGTCCCTTTGGGTGTGCCTAGGGAGGACAGTCACTTCTGCGCCCTGCCCACTCCTTCTCCGGGTCTGCTTGGGAAGGCCGGGCGTCCCGTGGAGGTGGGGGGTGAGAGTGCTGCCCCCGAGCCCAGCCTGGGGTCCTGGGTCCCCCTGTCTGCTCCGTGGCTGCGGGGGGTGGGGCTGGAAGCCCCTGGCAGAGACCCTGCTCCAGGACCTTCCCCTCCCAGCGCCGTGGACCTGCCTGCAAGGTCTGTCCACCTTCCCCTCCCACCGGTGGCCCAGCCCCAGCGTGGGGGTCCCAGCCACCCTGACTCCCGAGCAAGCAGAGCCTCAGCTGAGCCCGAGGCCCTGCGTGTCCCCGGAGTGACCTGCCGGGGCGCAGGGTCCCCCTCAGGCTCCCGCCCTAGCAGGAGGTCGCGGAGAGGAGCAGAGCTGAGCCCCCGGGGGCGGGGAGAAGCCAGCACAGGAGGGGCCGTGCAGGGGCAGGCGCAGCAGCTTGTGGGTCAGACCCAGGCTCTGGCTCTCAGCTCTCAGCCAGACTCTGGGAGAGAGAGGGTTGCCCGGGTCACACTGCCACCCCCTCTCGTCACCCCCAATTCCAGGGCTGCCAGCCACTACCCCCGAGTCACAAACCTTCGTCCGGAATTCCCAGAGCATCCTCAGAGTGGCCGGGGCGGCTGCCAGCCCCAAAGTCAGAGGCTGCCTTCCTGTCAGATCCCAGAGCAGGGGTCTTGGGGCCCCGTCCTGCACACTCTGCAGGCCCCCTCCCCTCCCTAGCCCTCCTCAGCTCCCCTCTGGAGAAGTCCTGGGCCAGCCTCAGGGGCCCTGTCCAGCTTGCTCCTGTCCCTGTGGGGGAGACAGACACCCAGGGTTGGGGTTGGGGTCGGGGCGGCCTGCAGAGAAGACAGGGAGACACGTTGCAGCGGGTGGAGCCGGGTGCTGCTGGCCTGGGCTGCTGCTGTGAGGTTGGAAGCCCCCGGGCATGTCCTGGGGTCTGGCCTCCCTGTGGGCCCTCCAGCCCAGTTCCCTGATTCTGGTGCCCGCTGTGGTGGGGCTTTCCCATCACCCCCGCTGGAGGACCAGGGAGTCAGGCCACCTGGGCCCCGGGACCCAGGGCCAGCCTGCCTCCCACAGGCCGAATTTAGGACAGAAGAGTCCCTCCCTCTCCCAAAGCCCGGACCCGGTGAAGGGGTCATTCCTCTGTCGTCCCGCAGCGGGGCCCTTTCTCCCCAGGGCCCCGCCCCCCACTTCCCCACGTCCCTGGATGCCCACCGCACGCCCTCCAGATTCACGTACACACACGTGTGCTCACACAGGCACACCTGCCCAGCCCCCTGCCAGGTTCTGCCCTCAGCCCCTAGCTGCCTTTCCACAGCCTGGTCAGGGGACCAAGGTCACCCCCTCCCTGGTGACCTTCCCGGCTGTGGGAGGAAGAGTAGGAGACCTGCCTCTCTCCTGCCTGGTGACTGTCCTCCCCCAGTGCGGGGGGTGCCCAAGGCCTGGCTTCAGGTGGGAGGGGTGGGCCAGAGACCGCTGCCTGGGAGGGGCCTGGCTGGCTCACATGGGGCCTGGACACCCGGACCCTCCCCAGTCCCCTTGGCCTCCCGCTGGCCCTCTCCGGAGGCAGACGGCGCTCTGGGCCCTGGGCAGGGCCCCGGGGCTCTCTCAGGAGAGGATGTGGGTTTGTCTGTGGGGACGAAACTCAGGTCTCGTGGGACTTTTTTTGCTGAATGGAGAGGCTGGGGCCGGGAGGGTGTTTGTGATCTTTCCGCCGCCCCTCGGGGCTCCCTGCCCCCTCTGCAGCTGCTCCAGGCTGGCGGGGGCTGGCAGGTGCGCCTCCTGCAGCCAGGTGCCCCTGTGCTGTCCTCAGCAGGCCCCTCCTGTGGGGACTCTTCGGAGGGTCCGAGACGCACTCCCAGACCGCATCTGCACCGTCCCTTCCCCTTGGATTCTGAATCAGGCTGTTTCCACTCGCTCCTCCCCATTCTGCCGCTGCAGAGATTCTGCTGGTGGGGCCCCAGCTGGGGGTGCTCGGGGGCAGGGTTCCTATCACATCAGCTTCCCTAGTGGCCCTCCCCTGACCTCATTAGGAAGAGCACACATGTGCATGTATGCACGCCATGCACACGCAGCCCCCAAAATCTGATGAGTTCTGCAGGGCTCAGTTTCCAGGCCCCCGTCCCCGTCCAGGGCCCGGTGGGCGGCTCTGAGGTTTGGGGCGGGAGGGGCAGGCAGCCGGCTGGGCCCCGTCTGCCCAGCTGCCTTGGTCTGCTGGTCCCCCACGCCTGCCTGCTCACTGCATAGTCCCCTCCCCACTTTCCTGGGGCCCAGAGCCATTTTCCCCCTTCTGTCCCCCTCTCCCCCACCCACACTCCCATCGTCTCTCCACTGTCCCACTGTCCCACTGTCCTGGGGTGGGGGGTGGGGAGCAGCTTGAGGCTGAAGTGCAGCCTCGGGCCAGTGCCTCCGGGAGGCTGCCCCTGGGATGGGCTGCGTGGTGACAGTGGGGTCTCTGAAGCCCCCTCCTGGCTGGAGCTCCTGGGGCACACACATGTGCCTGTGTGTGTGCATGCATGTGCCCTCACCCTGGTGATCAGACACGGGTGTGAGTGTCTACCACTGTGTGTCCAGTGGGGCCTGGGGGGCCAAGGTGTCCCCAGTGTACATGCCCCTGCCCTTTGCCCCTGGAGGGCAGAACCCACCACAGGAACCCACTGCCCCCCAGAGGCCTCTCCAGAAAGCCCTGGAGGACTTCTGGAGGCTGGCGGGGTGGGGCAGCGGGGAGGCGGGCAGCAGGTGCCATCACCGTCTTGCTGAAACAGGGAGAAGGGAGGATTGAGCTCGCCTGCAGTTCCTCAGCATGGCCATCAGGTGGCGTGCGTTCTCCTTGCAGGAATGGCCAGGGGGTCAGGTCCGGCAGGGATGAGGCCAGTGGGGCCTGGCTGGAGTGGGGTGGGGATCCCGGGGCCACCCAGGCTGAGAAAGCGGGGGCACCAGGTTCTCAAGCCTCCCCTGGCCTCTGCTGTTTCTCACTGTGTCCACTTGGTCTTGTTCTAGGCCAAGAAGGGGTTAGGAGTCAGGTAGGGCTGCCAGGGGTTCGGAGCACAAAAGATGGGGCTCTCTGCATCGAAAATCCCTTTTCCACAAGCCTGGGTGACAGGGCCCTGGACAGGGACACCAGGCACTCAGCTCAGCCCCTGCGGGTGCCGTGGAGAAAGCCCAGTGCGGGGAGCAGGGGGTGGATGGACCCTGGACTCCCCAGTGACTCTGTGCTGTGGGGGGCCTCACAGCTTAGGAGTCCTGCTTGGGTCACAGACTCAAAGGACACGGTCTCCTTGCTCTTCTCCACTGTGCCCTGACAGCTTCCAGGGTTGAGCTGCCTCGGCAATGGTCCCCTCCCTGGTGGGTGCTGGCTGGCTGGCTGGATGGCTCACCACTGCCCAGCTTCCCTGCCCTGCCCCGGCCCGGGTGCATTTCCCCACCGGCCTGGGAGCCTGCCCCGCCCCCTTAGGGACCCTGTCCCGCCCCCTTAGGGACCCTGTCCAGCGTGAAGTCCTTTGCTGCAGGGGCGTGGCCTAGCTGCGGGGAGGGACAGGGACTAGGAAGGTTCTGCGGTCTGCAGGCGGCCTCTGTGCAGTGCCCGAGGCAGCCACCAGGTGGCGCTGTAAACCACGGTGTGCTCTGAGCAACTCGGGCTTGGAATGCACAGGGAGCCTTTCTCATCGACACCTAAGTCTGCCCCCAGGTCCGCCTCTACAACCTTCTGAGCAGTGCACTGGCGGCCGGGCTGCCCTGCTCGGTCACTGCGCTGGGCAGAAGCAGAAGAGGTCTGTGCCGGCCAGGCAGGGCAGCCGGGCTCCGGGGCTGTGTGCTGTGAAGGGCAGAGTCAGGAGTCAGGAACACAGGGGAGCCTGGGGAGCCTGAGGCTGAGCGTGTTCTGTCTGTGTTAACCTCCCAGGAGCAGGGGACAGCCTCAAGGATCCCGGGACACCGGCCCCACCACAGGGAGTGGTGGCTGGGGTCCAGCTGAACTGGCCGGCCCACAGCCCGTGTGCTGGGCACTTTCCCTGGGGGCAGCCCCCACCCTGCACCCTG